TTCCACCTATCGCAATACTCTCAAAAATTTTCTGGTTTCCTGGTTTTTTTGAAACCTTCTTTCGTGTTACCACAAGATGCTGACTTGTGGGCAAAACTTAACTGGTAGCACACTTGCCCGGAAAGCAAGAGATCCGGGTACGAATCCCGGCTGGGGCGAAAGTTTTGCCCACAACTCAGCATTCTTGTGATAACTTTCGCAACGCGAACTGCGGCGTAAAACAGCAGTTATCCAATAAAAACAAGACAATCTCTTTCGTTTAGAAGCATTCTGTCAGACAGCTGCACTAATCAATGTTTCGCACGAGCTCTTCACCGTCTACAAACGCACTAGGAGGAATCCTTGCTTCTGTTGCGTGGTTGGAATGGGGGAAGAACAATTATCATTCAGAAGAACATGCTTCGAAGTGTTTGTCTGCCTCCTAGCCCACACGCCCTTTCACCATAGACAGTTGTCTGTACACGACCGATACTCGAGTTCTTCGTAGCTGTTCAACTTCAACGTAGCACGGTTCACAGCACGGATCGCTTACACACAGAACAGTCGTCTCCCGTTCTACTGTTGTCGACCTCCAATCATCTCTCCAGGTATCTCACTTGTAATGTAATGTGAGGGCATCTCGATCAACGTTGTTTCTAGTTGTTGGATGTCACTGCCAGCTGCAAACAATGTTTCATGATCGAGTAAGCAGCAAAGGCAGCGAGTACCTTTGCGAGGAAGCGGTTCGCCATACTCACCCGTGGAACTTAGAAAATATACTTCTTGATAACTAGTCTTTTTTTTTCATACGCTGCGCTGCAGACTTGAAAGAAAATAGTTGAGAATGTGTTTACCTGCCTCGTTTTCACATCTACTCTATGCAGAAGGTATCGAAAAAAAGTTAATCTTCGGCCCACTCGATGTATCTCAGAGTAATCTGGCTGAGGTGTATTTGTTAGACCACCGATGGCACTAATAACTCTGACATCCCAGCAGGTGACTGACGTGTTCGGAGTGTAGCTGCATTGGCATGGAGTATGATTAGTGTGAATGCATGTAAATTCATGATGCAGTTTGTGACGTGATCATTTATATCATTACTCGCAACGGGGGTGAAATTGGTTATCTCGTATATAAATCTAACTATACTTGGTGTGGCGCTTGTTATGTGCTGCTCTATATGTGTGTGAATGCTACAGGGTGGTCCAATTATGAGGACCAAGAACATTGTGTCGTTAAAAACGCATAGTAGCTTGATGGAGCAAACAAACTACAGGGAAGTGTTTGCAACTAGTATCTCAAAGTAATTCCAGAATAGAATTGAGATCTGCCACCTGCCGCGTTTACACGAGCCTTCAGACGAAGGGGGTGGCGCGTGCGGTGGCACGCAACTGAGGCGTGTCAAAATGTTTCCAGGCCTTCTGCTCTGCTTTCTTCAGGGGATCAACGTTTTGTGGGGCATTCATTTACCGTGTCTACAGGGTGTAAAATACAGAATTCTATAGCTGTTAGGTGGAGGGTTCCATTGTAACAATTCTTCGAGTGCAACAAACTCGAAAAATAGCCTTAGGAGAATTTTTGCTCTATTCTTGGTGCTCGGTCCAGTAAAACGTCCCAAGTATGGTACTCGAGTGGCTTCCTATCCACTATAGATGTGGAGTCTTTAGAGTGCCTGGCTGGGTTTTCACATCGATTTTTTCATTTTGGGAGTACGAAAGTCGACAAGGGGAGAGCAAGTTTCTGCATCTGATAATTGTCCTGGTGGTAACTGTAACTTTCGAGTCCCGAATTTTCCATCTGTGGTGGTTCCAAACTTATTGAAGAGTTGAACTGTTGCCCACATGAGCTTTCCTGATACGTTAGACTGCCGCTAGATGTAACGTGCCAGAGCCCTTAGTGAGTTCAATTTGAGGAATGACATAAGAAGGTGTTGCTCTTTCACTAGTTTTGAGAACTGCATGAAGTATTAGTTTCGAAAGGAAGAATACACTGTACCCTATCACATGGTGCACAGAAAAGGAAATGAAAATGGAGCGACTCGGAAAAAAGTGGATATGACCGCGCGCGCACGCGGTCCTCATAATTTTGGACCACCCTGTATATCGTCTGTCCGTCTGCAAACTGAAATGATAAGGAAGCTCATGGAGTAAATGAACCGCTCCCAAAACGGCTCGTATTACCATTGCTATGAATGTTTTGTCATGGCGTAGTTGTCGTAACACACCATAGACAACCTAATCGGCACAACGATTCCATATGGTGCTGCACTGGCAGGTCGAGTGGACCGCAGGGAGGATGGTAGGGTAAGAGATGGAGGAAAACCACTAACAACAGACCTACGCAAAGTACCGTCATTCTAACATCGTGTCATGATTGTGATGATGCCCTCTATCATATGAAGCTTTCTGTACACCACCTCTTTTCGAGAGACGCTGATGCTACAGGTGGAGTGACGCAATTAGAAGACGTGCGCGGCGGCGGCGGTTGCGGGGCGATCAACCTGGTTATGATAGTGTGGAAGAGAGAAAATTTATCGGATACATCTACCAGTCAAAACAACAGAGCAGTTAATGTTCAAAACCATTCATTTGTACCACATTACAATGAATATTGGAAAAATATTGGATCACAAAAAATTATGCAATTTCATCAGTCAATTCACATAGTTTGTCTTCATTACAGAATGTACCGAAAGGGCATTCGCTGCAGGGTTCGCCCTTCATGTAGATCTGCTCGTTTAGCTTGTTTCCGCTGCAATGGCTCAATCAGAATATCTGGTGTGCAAGCAAAGGAGATCAAAGAATTTGTATCCAAGAAGCCCAGGAGGCAGACGGGCACAAATTTGAGTCAAAAGTCACGCGAGAGTCAAATTTTAGCTAGACAATTATGGGATTGCAACTGAAAAAAAAAAAGGTGATATAACCATACCCAGGATAGTAAAGGCATATCACATTCCAGTAAAAACCGCATGACTCTACGTAGCAACCGAAGTGTTCAGTGGTCGCCCAAGCCATCTGCAAGCAACGACATTTCTAACAGCTTCCTGTGGTAAGATAATTTTTAAGCCTAAATGATGAATGAACGCTTTACAAAATGCTGCACTAAGTCAAACCCTAGTGAACCATTCGGTCGGTGTGCCAACATTGGTATTGCGTAAATCTGACACCTTGTCCGATGCCGCCAGTTTATTCTTATTTGACTCCACCAGTGTTTAATAGCCTTAACAGACATGTTTATTGTTGTTAAGACAAGGAGTACGAGAAAGTGAGTCTGTTCCAAGAAGGTACATGCAACATTTGCGGTGCGATGCCAGGGCAAGAAGAAATAACGACGTGTTTCTGCAGTGCAAGATGCGCTAGTGGCAATGCAGTTGGGCTCATCTCGCCTCCTCAGAAACTGTCACTCTTTCGAGCACAATTATTGAAATTTATGATATCATAATCAATAGCATTGTGAAAGTGCATTTCACCAGACGTAATCGGCCGTGAAATCGGCTGTAATCATGTATTTATTCTTCACATCACCTAACAGGCAACGTGTAATCCACAAAATCGTCTAAAGTCAACAATCACTGTAAGGTCTTAGTTCTCAAGTTTTTGGTCTTCTCACGGCTTATTCAAGTAGAATGTCCATTGTCGAATAAATTGGTACCTTTGCTACCGAGAGTGACCAACATCAAATTATTGCGATTGCTGCCACTGAGTCAGCTCTTTTGAGCTCAAAATGATAAACTTACAACTATAAGCGCTTTCTCCTTAGTGTTTGCTAAAGACTTTAAAACCATATGGTGGTTTTCTTGGACAAAAGAAGGCATTGTCGAAGGTGGAACTACAGAGCACCTCACGTAATAACTTCGTATAGCACGTATGCTTCACGTGTCAGCAATGGTATTATCCTGGCAAAATTTGGTATTGAGGAAAGCATTCGAACGCAAAATACGGCTTCGGCAAAAGAAGTTGAGTCCACGAGGTGAGTTGGATGCAACGGATATTCTCATTCATTTTCATCGATCAATGTATTTAGCAATCAAGTTTCTCAAAGATAAAAGATAATTACAATAATTGTCAGTGATAGGAAGTATCACTGCTCTCGTGGAGTGGTGCGCTCCTGTCGTCCTTGTGGAAAAATGCTTGGCTTTTATGGGGACTATACCTGCTGACACCAAAACTACCCAGTGTGACATGATTCCTGTTGCCACTGCGCCAAAAATGCGCGTAAGTAAAACCTGTAGCATTGAATTTCAAATCACCAAATGTCTCATGTTGGACGCCGTTGGCAGTGTTCTTCCTCTCCTGTTTCTGACAAGCCCCATAGCAAGCCTTGACCTTAAAAGAATGATGATTATCGCATGACTTCCTCAGTCGCAACAATTATGGTCGGAAGTATTTTACCTCCGATAATTGTGAGCCATAATGCCCTTATTCTTAATGTGTCTTTCATGCCACGGTGATGTGGGCATATCTGGTTGTCCTCTGAATTCTCTTTGTAAAAAATTTTGTTTTGGTCCAAGAAAATGGTGCCACTTAGAGAGAGCAATGAAAACTTTACTAAAGGTCCTTAGGAAAATTACGATCGGTAATAAAATACAATCGTTTGAATTTCTTATTGAATACTCACCCTCATACGGAATAGTAGTGGTCGAAGCTTCAGTAGTAGAAGCTGTTGTCGAAGCAGTTGTGACCTCCTTTGTTTCCCCACTACCCGCTGTACTCGAAACACTTAGAGCCTCCGTTCATTGACTCCCAGATGTCGAGACTTCGTCGTTGACTCAGTTGTGGACTCCGTAGTAGATTCTGTTGTAGGACTTGGTGCTGGGTTTTGGGCCGAGACTAGCGAGAGGTCCACCTTTGAAAATGGTTTAATTCTTTAAGCAAGCAAGTAATTATGAATGGAAACTTACTTATCGAACAAGGCACAACAAAAAATTGCAGGTGAAACTTCCCCATGGTGGAAAACTGGAGGAAATGATACTATAGTTTTCACTGCTAGACTTTTATATGCACAGAACAATAATGACGCCCCACTGTTAACTCCGCTAATTGAGCAAAATTGTAGACATATTAGTTTTCAGACCGTCAAAAAATGGACGTGTACTAGTGATAAAAAAAACTGTCCGGAATCGGTAATAGTTTCTCTCCACTTGCTAGTCGATCAGCATGAAATGTCAAAATTTCGAGATGCGGTTGCTGCGAGCTCCTAGAGAAAAAATACTATTTTCAATTGCGGCATAGAAAAGTGATTGCTTCATTTGTAGAATATCGGTGCCGATGGCTCAGAGGCACAACAGAGGTTATGCTTAGATAGAGGACCATGGGGCAGAGTTCTACACTAATCTAGTTCACGGGTGTTCCATGCTTCCAGCAATACTTCAAGGTAAGAGCGGTAGGGCCTTTTTATCACCACTTCAACTGCTTCTATTTTCCTCATTTGCAACATGGAGACATGCACCATTTAGGGATCAGCACTGATGCTCTCGCTCAGACTCTCCTCTTTGCTCTGTCTTCCACTGCCTTAGCTACAATGTTTTCGACAGATTCTTTTCCTTTTTCTCTGCCTCCATCAGCGGGTCCCGTTCATGGAATGGCATTCATATTTCCCATTTCTAAGATTCAGTGCAGCGATACTTCTATTGCTCAGCGCTGCCCTGACCAGAGCGTACAGTACTCGCCGTTTGAAATCGAAAATTCACGCGAATAACGCGAATCCTCGTTAATTTCGTGAATTCGTTATAACTCGGTTCAAAATTGAGCTTTCGAGAATCCGAAGATATCTTTGAATTCAGCTCGTCGGACACTATAAGAATGTGCTTTGATACTTTGAAAAGCTCCATATAGGATTGCGCCATGCACTCGATTTTCATCTCAAAAGGTGAGGTTGGCCTCGGCATTGAAGTGCTAAGTAAATCGCACTTATGCGGGGGGGCTGACCGCGTAACACGAGAAGGGCGCGCGAGAAGACTTGAGCCAGAATGCGCAGGCGGACGACGTGCGATCGCAGTCACCTACATTGCTGAGATTAGATGAATGTATGATTTTCGCAATTCGCGTAGGGTTCTTGCGAGTGGTCGTGGTTTAACGTACCTGGCTGTAGCGGGTGCCCTCTGCTTCAATGTATCCCGAGCTTGTATTGATAAGTGGGTCTGGTTGGAACAGCGTTCTCAGGTTGCATAGTGGGCCTGTTATGTGACATTTTCCATTTTCAGAGGACATGTTTTGCAGAAAGCTGTGAAGATAGCGAACAATTTCCTTCACTGTCGTAGACTACGGTCACTTGTCTGTAAGGATTATATGGAAACCTTGGTCGCAGGTGAGCGTTTCTTCCGTGGTGTGACCCCAAACATCACCCCTTGTCATGCCTTTGCCCCCTATTACGTGACAAGTCCCATTTTTAGAGGAATGTTTTGTAGAAAGCTGTAAAGGAAGCGAAGAATTTCCTTCACTGTCGTAGACTATGGTCACTTGTCTGTAGGAATTATGTGGAAAACTCGGTCGCAAG